GCACCCGCCCCCCCCACTCCCCCCTCTCCCCAAATAAAGCCCCTTTTTACTACTGAGCCCAAGCCCAAACCTGGGCTGCCCCTGCAGGGGCATGAAAGGGCTTGTTCGATCTCCACTGCCTCACGAAGAACTATTTTATTATAATATAACTTTTATTATTGATATTTAGAGCGCGGAGTTGTTGAAGCTGTGAAAGGATAAGAAACCCTTTCTCTGTTCCTTGCTCCCTCCCCCACCCCCCCCATCAACTTCCAGTTAGTGGTGGGCTCTGTCCCTGCTAGAACTGAAGCCCCCTCTGGGGAACACACATTGTGGGGCGGGCTTTGGGGGGTATTTAAAATATGTCACAGAAAATTTAAGACGTTTTACAAATAATTTAAGCAGTAACTTATACCTTAGTGTTTTGTTTATTTTAATTTTGTGGTGCTGCGGGGGACACTGCTGAGGGTTTAGGGGGATTTGTGGGGTGGTTCTGCTCGGGCTGTTGGTGACAGAAAGTGGCTTCAGGAGCTTTTGGGAGATGGAGGGGAGGCAGCGGCATGAAGGGAGGGCGGGGACTGGAGGCTGCTGGGGCTGGTGGGGGTGATGGGTGCTGCGCCCCTGGGGTGACAGGAGCTGCTTTACCTGCTGTGGGGCTGGTTTCCTCCCTCCCAAAGCTGCTCTGGTTTTGGGATCCCATCTCCCTCCCCTCCTGCAGATCCCACTGCTTCCATTGGAAACCCCTGGTGGTGGGGGAGGGGGCTTTGGGGGCAGTGTGGGTGCTGAGGGCTGCTAGGGACTTTCGGTAGCATTTCAGGCTGGCTGAGGTGACGGATTGAGGGCTTTTTTGGGGGGAGAGCATTCAGCGGAGCTGGCTGTGGCTGGCAGGTTAGAATGGTGCTGAGCACCTGGGGTGGGATTGTGCCCAAAAGCACCTGCCCTAGCGCAGGGTGGCTCTGTGCTGCTGCAGGTGGTGCCACCAGCACGTGTAGAGCCAGGTTTTGGTGTGAAATGGCTTGGTGGAGTCTGTGGGTGGCTGCGCAGGGGTTGGTCTGGAGAGGAGCAGCGTGGTAGGTTCCCAGCTGGGACGTGGGGTGAGACCATGTAGGGTGGCAGGCTGGGTCACTGCCCAGCGCAGCATTTCCTGGGGAGCCCATCAGCACACGGCTATTCACAGCCGAGCTGGAAGCTGGTTTTACCACAACCCCAACCCTGGGCCAGGGTGGCCACCCGAGTTTTGGTTGAATTGTTTTGGAAAAAAACAGTTTCCTTTGTTCTCAGACTTCACTTTTCCAACTTTCAATAAATGTACTGTCTCCGTACAGTTTTGTGAAACTTATTCTACATCGAGCTTGGTTTTAAGAGCAAGCAGTGCTTCTGACCCTTGCCTGCTCCTCTGCCATCGGTAACCCACTCCCTGCTGGTTTGGGTATAGTTTTTAGGTTTCAGGCTCCCCAAAAAAGGCCGTCCCTTGCTTCCCCACACGGTTTTTGGAGCCTCTCTTGGAAGCTGGCTGCTCCTGGGTTGTCGGGCTTTGCAGTGAATCACTCGTTCTGCCCTTTCTGTTAATCAGCGGGAGCAAGGTCGGTCTTCAGCTGTCCTGAGAAACTGGGAGGGGATGGGGTAAGAGCTGGGGGGGTCCTGGCCCCCGGATGGTGCCCTGGGGCTACTGGGAGCTTCTGCCTTCCCGGAGCTAAAGCACAAACTCGCTCCCGTCTCCCCTCGTTCGCTCGGGGCTGGCAAAACCCACGGGCGGGGGCGGTCGCGGTCCCGATCCCGCCGTGTGGCCCCTTCCCCGCCGGGTCCACGTGTCCCAACTTTCAATAAATGTACTGTCTCCGTACAGTTTTGTGAAACTTATTCTACATCGAGCTTGGTTTTAAGAGCAAGCAGTGCTTCTGACCCTTGCCTGCTCCTCTGCCATCGGTAACCCACTCCCTGCTGGTTTGGGTATAGTTTTTAGGTTTCAGGCTCCCCACAAAAGCCCGTCCCTTGCTTCCCCACACGGTTTTTGGAGCCTCTCTTGGAAGCTGGCTGCTCCTGGGTTGTCGGGCTTTGCAGTGAATCACTCGTTCTGCCCTTTCTGTTAATCAGCGGGAGCAAGGTCGGTCTTCAGCTGTCCTGAGAAACTGGGAGGGGATGGGGTAAGAGCTGGGGGGGTCCTGGCCCCCGGATGGTGCGCTGGGGCTACTGGGAGCTTCTGCCTTCCCGGAGCTAAAGCACAAACTCGCTCCCGTCTCCCCTCGTTCGCTCGGGGCTGGCAAAACCCACGGGCGGGGGCGGTCGCGGCCCCGACCCCGCCGTGTGGCCCCTCCCCCGCCGGGTCCACGTGTCGGCTTCCCGCCGCGCCGCCCTCATGTGACTACCGGGGGGCGTGGCTGGTCCCTGCGGAGTGACGGCGGGCACCCCCAACCGCGCGCGGCACCGCCCCCGCTCCGGCCGCGGACTGGGGGCCGGGCGGGCCAGTGAGGCAGCGGGGCGGGTGCGTGGCGAAGCAGCAGCGAGGCCGTGGCGGCAGCGAGGTAAGATGGCGGCGCCGCCGCCCGCCCTGAGCAGGGTCCGCACAGCCCTTCGGCGTGACACGTGCGCGCTCCCCCGGGGTCCCTCCGCCCCGTACCGGCTGGGGGCCGGTTTCCCTCCCGCCGTCCACTCTGGTAGCGCTGTCCAGGCCCCCCTCGGGAGCGCCCCTCACGCCCGCCGCCCGCGGACAAAATGGCGGCGCTGGGGCAGCCGGGTGGCGCGACTGCGCATGCGGGGGGCCTGGGAGCGGGGCGGGTGGTGGAGCACATGCGTGGGGGGGAGCGGGCCGGCACCGGGAGGCAGGAATGGGCACCGGGGGCACCGGGAGGGAGGGACGGGCGGGCAGGCAGGCAGGCAGCGGGAGCAGGGGCGGGTACGGGGAGCAGGGATGGGCAGCGGCAGCAGGGGCTACGCACTGAGGAGCTGCACGGGGGGAGGAGGGGGGGGGCGGCTGTACTGGGAAGAGGGGGTCCTGCACTGGTGCTGCACTGGGCGGGAGGGGCCCTGTGCTGGACAGCGTGGAGTGGGTGAGCTGCGCGGGGCTGGGCTGGGCGCTGGGGCTGTGGGAAGTGATGGGGGGCGCAGGGTTGGGAGGTGGTGCCCAGAGAGGGACCGGCCGTGAGCTGGGGGACAGGTGATTCCAGGAAGCGATGGGGTTTGTCTTGGGTTTTATGGGGTCGGTGGACTGCGTACGGAAGGGAGCGTTGTACCCGAGGAGGGTATGGAGCTATGGGATTCCTGCGCTGGGAGGAAAGGGGCCTGCGCTGGGGTGGTGGGGATGGAGGGGTACCTCTGGGACTTGTATATCCCGTGGCCACGATGCTGGTAGGCAGCAGCGCTTGTACCTGCAAGTTGGCATGGCTGTTGCTGCTTGGTAGCTCAGGTGAGCGAGATGTGTTTCATTTGGTGCAGAAATGGGATTGCTGCAAAGCTAAAAGTTTCCTCAGGCGTTGGAAGAAACTATCTCTATAGGAGCAATTTCATATCCTACCTGTTCTAGGGGGTCAAAGAGTTTTATTCAGGTGCATTAGCAAATGCTGCTTTTCTTTTTGTCAGTAGTTGGTTTCATTTCTTTTAACTGGTCTGTATCTCTTGAGCAGGTGTTGGTATGAACAGAATTCGGATCCATGTTTTGCCATCAAGTCGAGGACGCCTTACTCCTGTGCCGCGGCCACAGGAGCCTCTCTCATGTGCCTTCACCCACCGCCAGTGCTCCCAGCCGCGGCTGGAGGGGCAGGAGTTTTGTATTAAGCACATTCTTGAAGACAGGACTGCCCCTTTCAAGCAGTGCAGCTACGTTTCAACCAAGAATGGAAAGCGATGTCCCAATGCTGCACCCAAACCAGAGAAGAAGGATGGGTGAGTACCTATGTCTCCTGGTTCTCTGGTTCTGTACCATATAGAATTAGAACGGGAAGGAGAAGGTCATTCTCCCGATTCAGCTGCTGCACTTACGTTACCTCAGACAAGTGCCTTCCTCTTCCTGAAGAATTTTTAAGCTAGAAGAAGACTCTGTGGGTGCTGGACGCTCCGTGGAGTCGTCTTGGTCCTGCAGGACTGTTGGGCTGCTGCCCCCCGCCATCAGAAGGTGGCTGCAGTGATCCAGGTTCTTTGCAAGAGCTGTACGTGCACTCATGTGGTGCCGTACCTCTGCTCAGCCCAGCAAACTTAACTTGCCGCTGTTTGTGCTTATGGATCATCCTCAGCACAAATACTCTGGTTATGTGTTATGTAGAGTTGATGACCTTGTTGTGCTTCTTGTCCTCTGATGCATATAAAGTGTTCTGATTGCTGTGGATGGAAGGATCTAGAACAGTTATCGACATTCAGTAAGCATATCAGCAGAGCAGTTTCCCTGATGGGAGCATTGACCCGTGTTTCATTCTCTGAGTTTATGGGGATGTGGACGCTGGTAGTCATCATTCTGCCCTTGGTCCCTCTGTGATAAAAGGGATCCATCCGATGTGGGCCAGTGGGCTCTGCATGGAAACTGGGAGTCCAGTGTAAATGTTTGGAAGCAGAAGAGTTCACTTCAGTGGCTTTAAGTAAAAAGCTCTTTTCTCTCCTGCTGTGTGCCATGTGGCTTCTGGCTGCAGTGCCAGAGGTGGCATTTCAGTGGTGGTGTGTGGTCTGTGAGCCACTCTGGGCTCTCTGGCATTTCTGAGCTGTACCTGCAGCCAGCAGCTCGCTCTGTGAGAGACCTGTGGAGGGGATGTGCTTTCCAGGTGCCAGGGAACGTTTCTCACTGTATCGCTTGTTCGTTTTGCTGGCTGAGGGCTTGGAATTGTAACAAGCTTGTGATTTATTCCTGCAGCACATCGTTCTGTGCAGAGCATGCCCGTAGGAACAGTCTGGCGCTCCAAGCTCAGATGAAGAAGTCCAATCCTGGGCCTGTAAGTGAGACTCTTCTTTGCCAGCTTAGCTCTTACGTCAAAACAGAGCTGGGCTCCCAGACTGCAGAGAGCAGCCGCAGCGAAGCCAGTCGGATCCTAGGTAAGAATTGAAAGTAAAAACTGGTGTGAGAGGACCTGGAGTTCTCCGTTTTGTGTGGAAATGCCAAGAATATAACTTCTTAAATCCAGTGTAAAAAAATATCCCAGGGGTCTGTGGGTAAAAGATCTTATTCTGCAAAGCGTGCTGTGTCTCACCTGCCATTCGCTGCAGACAAGTTACACTGCCAGACCAAAATCCTGCAGTTTTTGGTCTCTAGCAGTGCCTGTCAAATGCTGGCTCAGTGAGCTTCCCATCTCACAGGGTTGCTCAGTGGGGCCAGCCAGTAGTTTGTGGCTCCTAGGTAGGCAGGAGTGTCACTCCACAGGAGCTGTGTGTTTTGGCTGTGCTGAGTTGGTGGGTTTCCTGTTGTTCCATGTCCCTTGTTCACGCTGTGCTGGGGAGGAGAAGCCTCTCTTGGCAAGAGGCAGAGCCAGTTCACCTCTGTGTGGCTGTGGAGCCAAGCTTCTGGGGTCTCTGTCTGTCCTGTGCCGGAGCAGTGAGCATTTGGACATAGGACAGTGTCCTGTCACTCAGGGCGGCTTGTCCTTTCAGATGAGGACAGCTGGAGCGATGGCGAGCAGGACCCTATCCCAGTGGACCAGACATGGCGAGGGGACCCGGACAGCGAGGCTGACAGCATCGATAGTGATCAGGAGGATCCCTTGAAGTAAGTTGGGTGCTGGTGGCTGCTGACTGCTTACGCACGTGTAGTGTACAGAGCATTCTGAGCTCAGCGTGACACCAGAGGAGATGGAGGTTACATTAGAGATGATGATATTGTTGCAGTTGGGCTTTGTGTGTTTGGTGAGTTGTTAGGCATGAATGCTCACAAGTCTTCGACCTGATGGTTGTTCTGGGAAGTATTTGATGGTCATCCTCTTTCAGTGTGGAGTGGTCTATTCAGCAGCAGTTTCTGGTTGATCTCTTAACTTTAAAAAAAACCCAAATTTGGTATTTCTGCTCATTGCCCATTGATCTGTATAATCCAGCTGTGCTCAGCCCACGTTTCTGATGTCTGTGTCATTTGGTCAGAATAGCCCCGAGGGACTCTTACAAACTTCACCCTGGTTGTGTGGGTGTTTTTCAGGCATGCTGGCGTATACACAGCTGAGGAGGTGGCTTTGATCATGCGAGAGAAGCTGATCCGCCTGCAGTCTCTCTACATTGACCAGTTCAAACGACTCCAGCACCTTCTGAAGGAGAAGAAGCGCCGATACCTTCACAGCCGCAAGGGAGAGCATGAAGCCATAGGCAAGTACTGGTATGGGTAGATGCTGATCCGTATTCCTCTGGCCGAGAGCACAACACTTCTCTGAAATACGTGCAGAATTCTACATTTAAAAAAAAAAAAAAAAAAAAAAAAAAAAAGATGTTTTTTGCCCATTATAGAAGCAGATTTCAGAGCAGTGCTGTCTCAGTAAGGTTGAAAATTACTGTAGGACTGAAACTCAGTTAGAGAAGGTATTTCTGTCTCTGGCCTCGTGCCCAGAGATTGGTATCGTTTGAGTTAGAAAGGTTGCCTTATTTCTTTGCTCTTCAAAGTTTGCAGTGTTGTCAGGAAGTGAGACTACAAAGTTAACTCTGAGACAAAAGTTCTTTTTATGTGTGGGATTTCCTGGTTTTGGTTTTATAAACAAAAAAAATTATTCATCTGTGAGGTCCTGTCTGTATCGGCAGAAGTTTGTTTCGGTAGTTAACACCAGTACTACTGTAATGACATATTCCTCCTTAGCTTAGCACAGATGCAACTTTCCCTTGCAAAAGCACTTCTTCGGGGTTGGAATTCTCCCTGTACAGAACATGCTCTTGGAGGCAGAAGTTCGTAGTTCAACAGAGGCAGAACTGGGTTGTATAATTGGTCAAGTATTGCAGTGCAAAGAATGCTTTCTCTAGCATAGTCTTATAATAGCTCATCCTGGAAAAAGGCATAATACAGCTCGGTCCCCAGTAAAAATAGCTGGAAGTTTGGTACGTAACAATTTTGTAGAACTCTTTTTAGCAAACCAGTAATAGAAGAGCGTATCCCGGGTGTTGCCCTGTAATTACAGCTGGGAGTGCTTACGGGAAGCTTCCAGAACTCGCAGAGGAGCAAGCTGAAATTTGACAAACTTCTATTCTGCGTGTAGAAATCACGATAGACTTTTGAGTGGCCATATTATTTTAGAAGACGTTTTAAAAATATTCTGTCAGCCCAAGTGCTCCTCGTGTGCACAGATAAGTTGGGATAAATTTTGGATGCTATCTGCTTTGTCATCTTCTTGTGTAACTGAAAGATGTGCTTCCTGTTTATACATGCAACTTTCACTGCTTGTTCACTCTGCATTGACATGCGTGTCATTAGCTGTTGGAGCTCTCGACAGATGATTTTGGCGCTCTGTACCACAAAAAAAAATATGGAAGGACGTGGCAGGTGGGGTGGTATTTTCTGACCCTTCCTTCACTCCCTGCAGGCAGCAGCCTTCTGACAGGCCCGGAGGGGCTGATGGCCAAGGAGCGTGAGAACCTGAAGCGCCTGAAGTGCCTGCGCCGCTACCGGCAGCGCTACGGCGTGGAGGCCCTGCTCCACCGGCAGCTGAAGGAGCGCAGGATGCTGGCGACTGACGGCACTGCCCAGCAGGTGTGTCCAGCAGCTCTGGGACTGGGTCCGGCTGGACTTACAACCTTGCTCGGGCACTGGGTCTCTCCTCTCATCCCCTCCTGGGAGCAATCCCAGGACAGGTCTGATCTGGCCCTGGCCGGATTGTCCCTTGTAACAACCTTTCTGCAGGGACATAAAGATCTGGTCCTGGCCAGCACCCTCAGGATCCACACTTTGGCTGAAACATTGGGGGTTCCTAGAGTCATTTTAAACGGGCACCAAAACTGCAAAAATTAAAAGTGTGAGGTTGGAGAATTTTCCATTTTGAAAGGGAGGGCTCAGGACAAGGTAGCCTGATTTTCATCACTGCAAAATGTGTGGAAAATACTTGTTATAGTGGTGAAACCCAGACTCTTCCTAGACCTGTGGAGGACCCAAAGGCAGGCCCCTTACATCGCACACGAGACTAAATTTGAAGCTGTGTGCAGCTATTTCTTTGTAACCATTTTAAAATTCAAAGCATTCCCTTAACTGACTTCTGAAAGTTGAAAGATAAGTCTGAGAAACCTCATTCTTTGCAACATACTTCTGAGGTGAAGTTCTTCCTATTGCAATTGAGTCGTGCCTTACTATCTCAGCTCTGTTTAATAAAAGCTTGAATGGGAAGGACATAATGAGGAGTGAGGCTCTGCTGGAGTGGAACTGAGTTTGGCCTTGGCGTGTTTTGAAAGCGGGATGCAAGTGTTGTATAGCCAAGGGGGTTTCTCTGGAACAGAGCTGGACAACTCCAGCACAGCTCTGAGCTCTTCTTTTGGACTTGTAGGCACACACCACCCGCTCCAGCCAGAGGTGCTTGGCCTTTGTTGACGATGTTCGATGCTCCAACCAGTCCCTCCCGATGACCAGGCACTGCCTTACGCGTATCCTTTGATCTGCCTGTGCTGCCTTGGGCTGTGCTCCTGACCGTTTGCTGGCAGTTTGAAGTGTGTCTGATGCTTTTATTTTTTCTCTCTTTGGCCCTCAATCAAGGCCATCGGTTTGCTGTAGCCGTTGGTTTCAAGCAGGAGCCCAGAGGAAACGTCTCCCAGTCTGTTGGCGCTCCCATCCCCATGGAATGGCCAATTCGTGTGAGAGCGACAGAAGGCTGGGCTTGCTCTCGCCTCTGCCTGGGCAGGTCCCACCGCAGCCTTTCTGCGGTACGTTGGCTGATCCAGAGCATCCAAATGGGGTGGCAAGTTCATTTGGAAGCAACAAGGAAACCTCACAAAGACTGAGGGAGACATGAGCTAGTTTCTGGCTGTATGGAAGGAGGGTAGAAGCAAATCTGCTCTCTGCTTGGGTGCAAGTGCTGGGTGCCAAGAGCCAACCTGGGCAGGGTCTGTGAGCTCTCGGTATGAGTCCTGTTGGGAGGAATGTGCGTAGGAAGGGGTGTCTGACTGCTGAAGCATGTGCTCAGTCATTTTTTTGGGAGGATCTGAATAGGGGAGTCATTCCTAGCCTGTTTGGGGCTGCCATGGACCAGCTCCGTCTCCTTTGACCCCTTGAAAGGTTTACATGTATGCGTGAACAGTCTCGAGCTGTTGGATTTGCCGAAACAGCCTCAGCTTTTTGAGAGCCAGCACTGAAACTTCCACTGGGATCACCCCACGTCGGGCATCACTGCCCCAACATGGGATCCACGAACCAAGCGTGGCCCCGGGTGCATCTGCGTAACTCTTGTCGTAAGTGGGATTCGGTGGATGTGTCCAGGAGCAGGTTTGGATCGTGTCGGAGCTGCGTTAGCAGCTATTGCTGGTGTGAGTCAGGAGAGGCTCCAGCACTGGGTCCCAGAGCAGAGCTGGCAGCCAGGGGGAGGATGAGTTCTTTGTTTTGTTTGAGCTTTTCGTTCTGTTGCTGAAGTTGGCAGGCTCAATTCCAGCTACGCGCAGGGAGCAGCCCAGGGAGCAGGAAGCTGCCTTTGTTTCTCTCTAGTGCCCATACACTTCAAAATAAAGACAGGATAAATACCTATAAAACTGTTTGAGCAAGTCGCTGTTTGCAGCTGGCTCGCTTTGAGCAGGGCAGGCCGAGAAGGGAGTGGAAAAAGCAAGGTTTGATTTCCTTACGTCTGAGCTGTCAGCTGACTTTTACTGACACAAACAAGATTTTACTTTGGTTAGCCCCGCTGAGCTGATAACATCTGCAGTCTGCTCTGCTTTGTGCATTGTCGGGAGGCTCTTGGGCTTTGTTTGCTTTTCAGGAGCTGGATTGTTTGTGACAATGCATTAAAGGGACTGAACCCAGCTGGGCTGTTGGGCTCCAGGTGGAGCGTGTGTTTTTTGTCATCTTGGCAATCCGTGCTTGTTGGCTACCAATAAAGTCAGTGCTTAATCTGGGAATCATTCAGAGAGATTGAAATCTGGCTTCCCCACCCTGCTGTTCATACAGAGACGCTTTCCTTGCCGCATCTCCCCTCGAGTGGCTGAGAGATCTGGCTCCTCTGGGCTGGGCTCTATACCGTTGCTGCTAGCACAGGTTACGGGCTCCCCACAGCTTGCTGGGAGGTCCTATTGGCCTGTTCACAGCTGCCTCTGTGCAGGGAGAAGTGGAAAGGATAAATCTGATGGCTTAAGAAACTGGGTTAAACTTGGCACCTTCTGCCAGTTTGTGTGGGTTTGGAAGTTTGGGTTGTTTTTTTTTGTTTTCCCCTCCCACACTGCGCAGTGTGAAGGGGAAACCATGGCGTGAACCCCACAAACACGGAGAACAGCTGGGCTGTTACCAACAGCCGGGTGGGTTTGATATTGAGGGATCTGACCTGAAAGACTTGATCTGCACCTACAAATCTGCTTTGGCCCCAGCTCCAGATTGTGTCGCCCAGTGAGGCACAGTCTCCACGCCGGTGACAATCTCAGCTGTTCTTGGAGCAATAAGTAGAAACTTCACGACTGTCAGTAAAGCATGGTTTATGCAGACCCTCTTGCCACCTCAGCAGTGGGTCTGTCTGTACTTTTGCAGGGCTCTTGGAAGAGGATGGGATTTGGTCTGTAGCTGCTCTTTGCTGGTGGATTGCTCTGCAAGTGCCGTACAATTGGAGCAGAGTTTCTGTTTGTGATTAAAGGCAGGAAATCCCATTTACACCTCTGGCAGGAATAGGTTTTCCATTGGGAAGGAAAATGCAGTGGGAAGATAGAAATACCGGAACTAAACTCCTGGCTGTGGAAAAAGCATTGTGTGTGCTTCTATCTCCACTGCGCATTAGATGTTAAGGCTTGTGCAGATGCCTTTTAAATGGATGTCTGCAAATAAAAGTAAGCCTGTGCGTTTGTAATATCTTCCATCTGAGGATCTGCGAGTGCTTTACAGGGATCCAGCTACATCTCCCAGCCCCCACTGGGAGGCTGTGGCTGTTGTCCCCATTTTCCATCAGGCAAATAATGTCACACACGTTGCTGGGCAGTCATGGCGCAGCTCTGGAGTCCTGATCTTGGAGAAGCGTATGGGGTTTTTACACCGTTTGCTGGAGGGTGGCGCATGAGTGGGCAGCATTTATGCCTCAGGGTGTGTGTCTGTCTGTAGCTTCTCTGCTGTGCAGATTTCCCTTGACCACATCTTCCCAGACATCTGTCAAGACACTAATCAGATGCTATTTAAACCGTGTCAAGGCTCCGAGGAAGTGCCCTGCAACAAGCCAGTTCCCGTGAGCCTCTCCGAGGATCCGTGCTGCCCGCTTCATCTCCGGTTACCCCCACAGATGTACGTACCTGAGCAAGTGCTGGTTGTCCCCGAGGAGCTGGAAGCTGCCCCCACGGACCTGTACTTGAGCGCTGCTGAGCTCCAGCCCACGGAGAGCTTGCCCCTGGAGTTCAGTGATGTAAGTTGTGCAGTGCGTGGTGTGCAAGCAACATGTCCAGCAGAAAAGCTGCCCCTGAATGTTGCTGTTTTCACTACCTGCCATGAAGCTGCACTGAAATACTTGTGGAGTGGGTTGCAGCGCAGCAGACCTGGTGCTCTCTATGTGGAGCATGCATGGACGTCACATAAAGCACTACCTCCCCAGCACAGATAATGTAGAATTCTTTTTATTCTTGCTGACTTGGGGAAGAAGAATCTCTTGAAAAATGTGCAGGAATGTGAAAGGTTTGGGAGATGTTTGTTTCTCTAGGGTTGGTCATTGTTCCTTTAGAAGGGCTGTGCTCTCATTTAAATCCGTATTTAGGGGCTTTTAAAAAAGAGGATTTTTTTTTTCCCCTCTTCTCTCCCATGAGGAATCCATGAGGATTTTAATCCCCAGATTATTCTGATGTCCTGCATGTATGTTAAGCCTACATGCTTAAAATCCTCTGAAATTTGTTTAAACAAAAAAAAATCATGGTTGTTTGGAGCTGCACCTCTGAACGAGGTGTCACTGGCCTTAGTATTTGGATGGCCCTGAGATTCTTGAGCACTTCAGTCAGGAGGCAAGTCTCGTAACCACTCTAGAGTTTGCTGCTGGAGGAGGGATCGCTGGCAGCTGTGGAGTCCTGGGGATGGCAGCAGCCGCAGCATTAACACTGGGACAGCAAGTGCTACTGCAGTGAGGTCAGCCTGGGCCCAGCACCCCCCGGGCTCGGGGGAGCACTCCCCCTGCCTTCGCTGGGCATGGGACCAGCTCCAGCCCTCCTTCCTGCAGGGCAGAGCCGGCACAACGCTCCCTGAAAACAGCCTTTGTGGGCTGTGGGTTTTTTCAGGTCAGAAATGAAAAACGTTAACTGTTTCTCCTGCAGCCCGTCCTTTTAAAGGTTCCCCCACCCTGTGTGGGGTTTCGGGTGCTTCAGGAAGGAACCTGGGTGCTTTGCTCCTGCCCTGCACCCTACGCCGTGTGTGGATGCGAACTGCAGACACCCTGCAAGAGCCCTCTGTCCTCAGCTCGGAGGGTTTCAGAGCTCCGGCAGTGTGCGTCTGTGTAGGGCATCTGTGTTTTATCTCGCATCACACTAGGCTGGTAGAGTGCCACTCGTGAGTCGCAGGCATCTCGCCTTGATGTCAAACGCCCTCCAAAGCCAAAACAAATCCCATCCTCTAACAATAGCCTCACAGGAATCCCAGTCCCTTTCGTCAGCGGGGTTATCCATGCATGCAGCAGATGGCAGCGAGCAGGATGGACGGAGGAGTAAACCAGAGACTGTCCACTCTGATAAGTTGTGTCAGGGCAAGCAAAGAGGGTTGTGTGAAATCCTGGGAGAGAGGTGGCTGCTCCGGGTGTGCTGAGGAGGGCAGGATCAGACCCTTTCACAGCCCTCCTGGCTGCTGCAGGGATGCTTCTGGGGCAGGGTGTCATGCTGGGCTCCTGACTTTGCGCCCCACACCTTGTTTTCAGTGGGAGCGCGTCACAGCCAGCCTGGATCAGCTGTTTCTGGAGGGAGGAGGAGTTGCATTGCCTGTAGTTGCATTCCCAGCTGCTGAGGCTAGTGGTCATGGTGTCATGGTGTCCACTGCTCTGCCTTCGCCCTCCTGTGTCCAGAAAGCTGTGGAGCAGTCTACTGTCTGCTCCTGCCCCGCTGCTCAAGAGGGTAGCAGAGAAGGGCTGCAAGGACTTGTGCTTCTGTCTCCTGTGGGGATCACCGGGACCCCTCCTGCTGCTGAGCCACTCCCGGTGTTTTCTCTCCTAGGACTTGGACGTGGTGGGTGATGGTATGCAGTGTCCCCCATCCCCTCTGCTCTTTGATCCTTCTGTGGCCCTTGATCAGTCCCTCAGAGACGTGGCTGAGGCCCCCATAGACATACTGGCCCTGGAGGAGCCCTCCCACACAGCCCTCCCTCCACAGACAGCGCTGACGGAGAGAGGAACCTCCTCTGCCCATGTCTTCTCCCCGGCTGCCGAGCCTCCGGCCGAGCTGCCGGCACAGGTATGGCCAGGAGAGCATGGGGGGCTTCTAGAGGAACTCCCGGTGATCCGCTGTCCCTGGGGCTCTGCAGTGAGGGTCTTCCTGGGGAAGAGAAGTCCCTGTTTGCCCTCCTGCCACCCAGCCAGGCCCTTGGCAGGGCGGAGTGTTGCTCTCCCATGCAGCCCGGTTTGGACCCGTGCTATGCCCGCGGTCTGGAGGATATTGGGAGTGCTGAGGGGGTGGCAGCCAGAGACCGTCCCTGGGGGAGCGATGGGGGACAGGCAGTCTGTTCTCCGTGGGTGGCT